TACGGCAATGATCGCATACTCAATGTGGTAAGTGGTTATCTTCGATTTTGTTCCCTTTTCCAAAACTTTCATTTCTTTAAAACGTTTTCACCAGAACTACTCCATCAACTACTGGATCTCCCATGGAGCACCTCGAAGCAAAATTGTCCTCGGCCTGGGCAGCTATGGGCGCTCCTTTACGCTAAGTCGAGCGAATGTAAACGGGCTGGGGGCGCCGGCGCCGCAGAAGGGCCAGGCGGGGCCGTACACTCGAGAGGGCGGCTCGCTGGGCTACAATGAGGTATTTTCCAAAATTGACCCTAAATCTTTGGTATTCTAAAACCTTTTATTTTTTCAATCTAGATCTGTGAGATGCAACAACGCGACCCCGCGGCGATGACCATCGTCTGGGACCGCCACCACCTCGCCCCCTACGCCTACTGGGGCCGCCAGTGGGTGGGCTACGACAATGTCCGCTCTATTACCCTGAAGGCGGCCTACGCGCGGGCGATGGGCCTCGGCGGGGCGATGCTCTGGTCGCTGGAGACGGACGACTTTGCGAACCGGTGCGGCGGTGGGCGGTACCCGCTGCTCAACGCCGTCAAGAGGGTCTTTGCGGAGGAGGAGGTGCCGCCGCTGCCGCTTCCTGGAGCTGGCGAAGAAGAAAGTAGTTCGACCACGAGTACCACGTCGACGAGAAGGCCGAGCACTTCTTCGACGACGACGACGAGAAGGCCGACAACGACAACTTCAACAACCACGACCACAACTACAACGACAACAGAAAGGCCAACTAGGACAACGCCAACGACGACGACGACGACAACCACTTCTCAAAGACCCTCTTCGACTTCCACTTCCACAACTTACAGACCGGAAACNTAGGACAACGCCAACGACGACGACGACGACAACCACTTCTCAAAGACCCTCTTCGACTTCCACTTCCACAACTTACAGACCGGAAACTGAGCCAACGACAACAACCACCACCACTACTACTAGAAGACCACCGTTTTCTTCGACGATTACTACGCCGTCCACGACCTCGACCACCACGGAGGACTACCCTATCTCTAGCAGTACCTCCACCTCGACCACTACCATCAACTGGTGGCCCCACCAGTCCTCCACCTGGTGGCCCCAGAAAAGCTCCACGTGGTGGCCGCAGAACTCTAGCCAACAACCAACAGCTGGCTCCGAGGTCTGGTGGTCCTCGACGACGCCCTCCTCCTCCTCTTCTACCTCCTCTTCAAGCAAAGAACCGGTGGACAATCCAAACAGCATTCCCGAGACGGAGGAAAATAAGAAGAAGAAGAAAGATGACTTTATCTGCACTGAAAGCGGCCTCTTCCGCAGCCCCTCCAGCTGCACCGCCTTCATTCGCTGTCTGGAGACGGCGGTGGAGGGCCAGTTTCAGCTCTTCTTCCACCAGTGTCCCGACCGGACGGTCTTCAACGCCGACAGCCGCCTCTGTGACTGGGTGGAAAACGTCCCGGAGTGCATCAAGGCCGTCCCGCGGTACTACCTTCGCGGCACCTTCCAGACCAACTTTCAGGTGGTCCACGGCGAAAGTGGTGGTGGCGGTGGGGAAAGAGAAGAGGCAGTGTCCAGTGTTTAGAGGGCGTTAAGTAGAAGGCGTTTTCATTTCTGTAAAATAGCAAGATTCAAAACAAAAGTGTATTATCAAAAAAAAGGTGTATCAAAGAAGGCGGTGGCGGTGAATGAAGGCGGCCAGCTCGGCGGTCGAGTCGAGGCTGGAGAGCTTCGTGCCGAGGCACATCTCGTACTGCAGCGCCGAGAGGTGGCGGTCGCAGGTGATCGGGTGGTAGACGTGCACCAGGCCCGGGTCGACGGCTCGGAAGATGGTGTAGCTGGGGGAGGAGACGAAGCGGTCGTAGAGGGCCACGTCCTCCATGCCCCAGCCGTGGATGGTCGTCTCGTAGCCGCCCACGGCGAGCAGGTCAGAGCGGTAGAGGGCGACGATGCCGAAGCCAAACTGCCGCCAGTAGCCGTCGAGGTCGTTGATGGTGAGGAGGTGATCAGAAGGCTCGGTTCGATTATCTTGATCTTCAGTCTGGCTCACCTCATTGCCGTACTGACTGAAGACGATGGGAAAGTAGACCTGCCGGCGGCGAATGGCATTTCGTCGCACCCGGCCCAGCACCTCCCCGGTGAAGGTCATGTCCACGTCGAGGAAGAAGAGCAGCTGGTGGTCGGCGAAGAGCGCCAGACTGCGCTGAAAGGCGACGCCTCGGCTGAAAGGCTCGCTGCTGTTCATCGCCAGGACGCGCACTACTTTAGGTGGAACGTGGTAATGTTCGGTGGCCAACCGGAGAAGGTCGTATTCAGTGATGGTGGTGGAGTTATCTTCAGCGCTGAAGAGCACCACCGTTAGCGTCAGCCGCTGATCCGCCTCCCAAACGCGGGCAAAGTTGGCGAGAAAGCGGTGGAAGGTGGTCATTCGGCCAGCCAGCGGCACCACAAGGTTTACCTCGATGTGGTCCACTTCTTCTTCTCTGTCTCCTTCTCCTTGAGCAAAGTACTCCTCCACCGGCCACTCCCTCACCACCGGTTCTGAGAAGCTCTGCACTGCGTGGGCGTGCCGGCGAATGGGCAGCGTCAGCCGCTTCCCCGCAAAACGTCGGTAGATGAGCAGCAGGTCGAGGACGTACTGAACTCCCGTCTCCGGGGTGAAGCGCACGTAGCCGTAGTAGAGCGAGTGAAAGTCCAACAGGCGGCCGAGCTTTTGAGGACCACGAAGACCCAGATCATTAAGGTGCTTCATCAGCACGGGAAGGTTGCCGTGAAAGGCGGCGCTTAGGTGCCGCTCCAGGTGCCGCTTTGGGTTTGCCGACAGTTCAGAGTAGAGCTTTGCGGCAAAGAACTTCCAAGTGGAGGTGTCTGAAGTCGAAGCGGAGTCCTTGAAGCTCAAAACGTCCCTTCCAAGGCGCTGGGCTCGCTCTCGAAGCTCCGCCAGCTGATCTACGCTTTGAAGGCGAAGAAGTCGTAAAAGCTCTTCTTCCTCCTCTTCTGAAAAAGTAGAAATCCGACTCAGGTGATAGTTGAGCCGTCGGTAGGCGGTGGTCAGCTGGAAACGCACCTTCTGATGTTCGACAGCCTGAAGGTAACGATAGAGGCGCCGCATTGCTCCGCCCTCTTTGATGGGGTGAACGGTGAGCGCCGAGGAGAGTTCTTTAATGGCTGGAAAAAAGGATGGTTCATCCTCTGAAGACTGCTGAAGGAGAGACTGCTGAAGAGAGGCGTTGTGGTAGAAAAGCGCTCCCATGTCGTAGCTCCACGTACAGCTGACGCCTGAAGTCCGTCGAACGCAGCGGCCCAGCTCGACGTCCTCGTGGCTGGAGCGCAGGCTACTTAAGCACTTTGATGTATGGGCGGCCAGCTTCGCCAGGGTGGTCCTCGAGAGGACCACGCCCGGCCCGCCCATGCAGAAGTTCTCGTGGCGGTGGAGGGCCAATTGGCCGAACTCCGCCTCATTGCCAACGCCCGTTTGGCCGAGGAAGAGCAGGCGGCTGCTGTTGAGGCGGCGGAGGAAGCTCTTTAGGGCCGGGACATTGACGAGGACGTCGTCGTCGGCGCGCATGAAGAAGTGGTAGCGGTCGCCGAAGAAGTCGGCCATGAACTTGAGCATGAGGAAGGACTTCTTCTGCGGGGGGTAAGCGTCGGTGACGCCTGGCAGCGCGATCAGAGGAAGTGAAGAGAGTTGAGGGTCGCCCTCGATTCTAAATGGGATGATGAAAAAAAGTTGATGAGAAAGGAGTGAAAAGGATGACAAGTTCTCTGCACTTACCTTGCTGTGGAATTGCCGCTGGAAAAGAAGATTAGGTGGCCGCCCATCTTTGCTGCCCACGTTTGGTGAATGGTCAGGGCTCGGGTCGAGAGGAATGGCTGGGCGGTCATGACGCCAATTAAGAGTAGCTCTCGGTGACCAGGAGCTGCTTCCTTTTGTTGTCGATCCAGGATCGCCCTCAGGTTGCGGACCACCGAGTAGGCGCCCTGGAGGTCTGCGTCGAACTTTTCATCGGCGTTCCAAGAGGAGATGAGG